ATCTTCTCCCACCTCAACGATAAGGCCAGCATCCTCGGTGTCCTTCCCAGTTATACCCCAGTGAAGGAGGCAATCATGGCTTTACACCAGATGGTTCGGGAGATCTGGGACCTAACTGTTTTTTAAAGTGACTTTCAATCAGTCCTGTATGGAGCTCTTCATTTGCCCTCATTTTCAGAGATAATTGGTCCTGCCAGTGTTCTGAGTCTTTGCTGAGGGGTGAGGGGCCCACCCCCTCACCCCCCAACAGCCAGACATTGCAAACCAGATGCAGTTTTGTGCTCTCTGTAGTGCTGGTTTGGAATTGAGCTCACTAGGGTCTGTTGAATCCTCCACCTTCTGCCCAGCTGATGTCTAGCCTCCACTAGCGCTGTCTCTCTCCTGCCGTCTCCATCTAGGTGCGTCCACACCTTCACAAGCATGTGTTTAGTGCTCTATACTGGAATTATGGGGATTTAAAATCTGTCATCCTTGACTAGAAGCTTGAATTTAAGCTTTGATTTTCTATTAACTTAAGTGTTACAAAGTGTGTGTGTGTTTTATTTCCACATGTACAGATTTCTCTCTGTGAGAAATCTGAGTGAGTACATGCCCTCACTCACTACCACTTTGTTCTTAATTTCTAAGTCTTTTTTTTTTGTTTTTTTGCACTATTGTAAGTCTCTATAATTTAATTTTTCTTAAAAAAATGGAGAACAATGAGAATTCTTTTCTTTGTTTATGTATCCTTCAAAGCTATGTCACTAAGAGCATAAAAGTTCACAGCTGATCTATTTTCTTAGTCGGTTTTTATTTATGTTATAATGAAATTTTCTCCTTGTTCTTTTTTTTTTCCCTGCCACCTTGAATTCTACTTGATTTTGATGTTCTTAAATCTGCTTTCTTTTTGCTGGCATACCTTTTTCCCTCATGGTTTTGTTTTGCAACCTTTATGTTTATTATTTTATTACTTTCTCTTTTTTTAAAGCCAGACTTCTACTTTCTGTCTTTTAAGAGACAGATGAATCTGACCTATTCATATTTATTATGACAACTGAAATGTTTGTTCCTATCCCTTGTTATCTTATTTATTTACTTTTTGTTTTCTATTTACCTTTTTCTCTTGTTTCCTGGCCCCCTCCATTCTCTGCCCATTTGTTGAACTGATGGCATTTAACATTGTTACATTTTTTCCGTCTTATGTTTTGGAAGTTATACTTTTCATTTCTATTCTATTCCATCTCTATTTGAAGCCAAGAAACCCACAGTGAAGAAGGGGGATAACTAAATATAAGTGAATCCTCAAACAGTGGAAACGGACTGGGCTGATCAATAAAGAATGTGGCAGGAGTTTTCATGGTGCAAGAAACATTTTGCAGAAGCTAAAACCATTTAACAGGAAAAGACCTGGAATCTTCTATTAGTAAAACTGTAGGATCTGTGTGCTGGAAACTATTATGGAAAAATGTTTGGGAAAGCTGGAGGGACAGGGCCACACTTTCAGGTTCAGTTTTAAAGCACCTTTGCCTAGTTTTTCCATTTGAGTTTCCATCTGAGCCAGTTCTTCCGCCATCTTGGATTTTCCCCATCTCTGCACTCTATGTTCTCTGCTGACCTTCTTGCCAGTGAGAAGGGCAGAGTGGAAGAGACAGGGCTTTGGAGAGAGAACAAGAATGTGGGCTGGGAGTGATCCTTTTCACACACATGTGCTCTGGGCAGCATCAAGGGTAGCTGGACATCCCCCCCTCTCCACAATTATATCTGCTGGACAGACAACAGGCCATCTGTTAGGAGGGAGCTCACTCCTGGGCACTTCTGTTGCTGTCAGCAGGGAGCAGGGCCCATTTTCCAGGAACCAGATATTGAAAATTAGTCCATTACATGTAGTTCATGCAATTAAAAGGAAATCTTTGGGCTGTTTTGCCAGAAGGCATGCAGGTTTGAGATCATACTATAAAGCTAAGTGAGTCAAATTTGACCAAGAGTCTCCTTGAGATTGGGAACCTGAGCAATGGGGCTGCTAGAAAAGTCAGGCTTTGTTGGGGAGGGGAGATTCTGGAAAAGAATAATCCCCCATGAGGGATTGGCAGGGTCACTGAGACCCCAGAGAGTCCAAAAGGGGAGCCGTGGGCATGACCCTGGCATTGGTTGGGAGATGCTGGCACCCTTCGGGGACCCAATTACTCCCTTTGTGACAGCTGCCCTGGTTTAGTTTGGGTGGCACCCTAGGGCTCCTTCTGTGTCCAGGGTGGCGACTGGGATGTTCTATTAACTGTTAACTATTCTATTAACTGTTTCCATCAGAAGCCATTGACTTCTGGAAAAGGTGACAGGTGAGGGAGAAGACTGTCCAGGTTGGGAAACCTGGGGGGTGGAGGTTCATCATGGAGCCGCAGTGATGGGCACGGGCCACCTCAGGCTCATGGTGAGGAATATGTCGGAGAGCCTGGGGCAGGGGTCCACACGAAGCCTGGGTGACCTCAGTATGTCACTTTAGTCCACCGAGTTCACCCAGAATCATGGTGCATTTCTCCCAGGAGATGGTGTTGTGAGCTGAGCCAGGAGGGGGATGACGGTAGGGACCACAGGCAGGCCTCTGACATGCTAGGGGCCCTGGCAACTTGTGGCCACCAGCATCAGAAGCACATGTCACTAACAGCACAGCCAGGAGAGTTGAGATGCTATTAAAGGAGGCTGGTCTTCACCACAAAAGCAGAGGCCAGAGGAAAATGGTGGGCAAGCCAGAGGTGTGGTTCCCGATCTGGGGAGAAGGCTGAGTGGCAGGGATGGGGAGGCAGGGAGCAAGGCAGAGGCAGGGCTGAGGTTATATAAGGGTACTCAGACTTAAGTGTCCCATGTGCTAAGATCTGTGTTCAGTTGTGTGTATGTTCTACAATCTAATCCTTGGTGTATCTCTGTGAGGTAGGTAATAACGTCTCTATTTTAGTAATGATAAAACTGAAACAAAAAAAAAAATTAAGTGACTTGTTTCAAGTTATTCAGCTAGCATGCTTAACCTAATTCAGATCAAGTTCAAAGTTCCTATTTGGTCCATTCCACCTCTCTTTCCTTCCTTATAAAGCCTGGGAGGTTGAACGAGATCAGAGTTCCCTAAACTTTAGCTTAGATCCACCTTCATGAATTTTGTCATCCCCACCTCTCATCTCTACTGTTAATGATTTAAAAGTTTTCCTTAAATAAGTCTCACTTATTTGTGTGGGTGTGTAAAATGCACATAATACATATTTACCATCTTAACAATTTTTAAGCATATAGTTTAGTAGCATTAAGTACACTCACATTGCTGCGCTAGGGTTTTTGTTTTAAACTTAGATATAGTTTAGAAAAGGAAAACATGCAAGGACTCTCACGAACGGAAATCAGTATGACTTTCCATAAACAGAAGTTAACCACTAGAATAAATACAGTGAAGGCAGAAAGTTATTAACTTGCAGCTGGTGACTAATGTCACTGAGGTCTCTAAGATGAGGGCTGTTCCTTCCCACCCTCAAAGCCCCATTTAAAAAAAGATTTATTTATTTTTTTAATTGAAGGATAATTGCTTTACAGAATTTTGTTGTTTTCTGTCACACCTCAACATGAATCAGCCATAGGTATACATATATCCCTTCCCTTTTGAACCTCCCTCCCATCCCCCTCCCCATCCCACCCCTCCAGGATGATACAGAGCCCTGTTTGAGTTTCCTGAGCCATACAGCAAATTCCCTCTGGCTATCCATTTTCCATATGGTAATGTAAGTTTCCATGTTACTCTCTTCATACATCTCACCCTCTCCTCCCCTCTCCCCATGTCCATAAGTCTGTTCTCGGAGCCCCATATTTTTAAGGGAGGATCCCAAGTATTGGAGAAATGTTAAAGATACGACAATTCCTTCTTCATACTCAGAAAAGCTGGAAGAGGAGTGACTTTTCCGAGAAAAGAGGGTCATTGTCTCGCCGTGATGTCAAAGTGACCTTGCACTGTGCCCAGGCACCTCCTCCCATCTTACCCATCACTGAGCCCGTTCCCCATCTCCCAAAATTCTGTGATTCCTGACCCCCAAAATGTGATCTCACTTTACTTTCCAATTTGGATCAATGACTAGGTGCAACCTTTCTTTGGGAGAAGTCCTTCAAGTTCTTCCCCATTTTCCTCAAGAGAAACAAGGGTAGCTCCCAGACTTTCTTCCTCTGTGTGAATCCCATAACAAGGGTTAACCTGCCTGAGCTCCACAAGCCCAGCCACCTTGGTCAGCAACTTGCAGAGCACTTGGTTACGATGTCTGCATGGGGCAACTGTGAGCGGGACACACCATGATAGATGAGGCCAGTGGCGGCTCTGAGTGAGTGAACTTAGTGCAACTGAGTGGAAAGGCAGATGTGTTAAGCACCAAAGGTGGAGCTTAAAGCACTGGTGAAAACAGAAGCCATCCAGAGGAGAAGAGGCCTCTGACACAGGGGTTTCAAAATGAGCCAGAGTTCAGTGTGACATTAGATTTGCCTGGGTGCCTGTTTCCTGGCACAGTCAAAGAAATGGAATCTGTGTGTCCTCCATGGAAGCACTGAGAGGTTGAAAAGGAAGAAGAATTTTTTTTTTTTTCTGGCTATGCCACAGGACATGTGGGATCTTAGTTCCCAGACCAGGGATTGAACCCTTGGCCCCTGTTATGGAAGCACAGAGTCTTAAGCACTGGACTATCCTTTGGGTGGTTGTTCTTTTTTAAAGCTATGCAGCGATGCTCTCTATCAGCATAAGAAGGAAACATTTCAAAGACTGAAGCTATAGATGTGTCACAGTAAAACCAGGTGTGATCCCAGGAATGTGAGAGCTGAGGATAAATCTCACTTTGGAAATCCCAGTGAAATGTGATGCTGAGCGGAGTCAGGGGCTTGGTGACTGAGGGGTGGAGGTGCTGATGGGAGGGTCTCTCTCTGCCATCTCCCCTCTCCTGGAGACAGTTAATCATGCCCCCTGGAGCCCCCCCATGATGCCCACTGGACACAGGATGTGTGCCTCTCACCTGGGGCTTGGTTTCATCTTTGTCCTTGTAGTAGAAGAGCTGATCCCCGCGCAGCACGAACCAGCGTTGCTGCCAGTTCTTCATGATGCTTCTCTGCTTCTTCAACCAGCCTGCCTTCAGCACGGGGCCCAGCCTGCGGGGGCAGGGCAGCTGCCCAGGGCTCCGGCTCTGCTCCCCCATCACCAGGCTTTTGGAGCGGGCTGGAAGCCAAGCACACACACAGTGAACACAAATGATGGCAGGCCGTGGTCAGTCCTTGTCCCACTCTGCTATCCCAGCCGCCCGGTAACCACTGTTATGGGAGCTTCAGCCAGCAGTGCGTGATCATGCGTGGCCTACCTCCTCCTCAGGTTGAAAGGGGCAAGGGCTGGAGCCCACCAATACTGTAGCCAAAGGTCATCCACTTGGGGTAGTGCACAGCTTACTGCCTGGTTAGTTTCTTCTGCCTCCGTGGGACCCCAGATTCTCCATTTCCCCAGGTTTGCTCATCCATCCATCTATCCATCTTTCCAAGAGTTCAAGGACTCACTTGTCAATTCAGCAACTAATATTTATACAGTATCTACTATGTGCCAGTCACTGTTATAGGTGTAGAGAAACAAGCGATGAAATAAGAAACATAACCATCTGGGTCCTACTGGAAGGTCCTCACCTTCTTGCAGGGCTCCTGTCACTCAGGCCTCAAGGGAGCTAGCCTCAGCAGACTCCCTCCCTGGATTCTGCATGGCACCCCTCCTCTGGAGGCCTCACCATTGCCCAGAAGCCCCCACCCCACCTGGCAAACTCCCTCGCTGCTTCCCTGGGATCATCCTGGTGGCTGTGCCTGGCCAGCAGGACCTCAGCTGCACTTGCCTGCTGGGACTGGTTGATGGCTCCCTGGCAGAACAAAGGTCCTCCTACCTCAGAGCCTCAGAGGGCCTGTGAGCCCTTCTGCCCTGCAGATGCCACGGGGCAGCACTCTGCCAGAGTTGGTACCGCCTTTCACGGTGACTGAGTTCTTGCCCCTCCCACACCTCCCTGACTCTTGTCTGAGGCAGAGCTCCTCTTCTCTCTCTCTGGCAAATGTCAAGGAGATTGCTGCAGGGGTCACTAGGAAGGCCCACCTGGACTTTGGAGGAACAACTCTGAGTCCAAATGTAATCACACTTGTAATCACAGTTGTAATCTCTAGACCATAGATCCTAACTTGGGATTGGAATGCATGGTCCCCACAACCCGCAACTGTTGCACTGTACCTGTGATTCTGTGTGTGTGTGTATCTGCCTAAGCTTCTCTCATTACTCTAGTGACTGCAGTTCCCTAAGCCTAGCCGACCTCTGTCCATGCCATCCCACTAACCCAGGCCTTTCTTGCATCCCTTGCCTAATCAACCCCTGGCTTTGGCTGCATGCTACTGCTGTGCTGTGCGCAGTCGTGTCCGACTCTTTGTGACCCCATGGACTGTAGCCTGCCAGGCTCCTCTGTACATGGAATTTTCCAGGCAAGAAAACTGGAATGTGTTGCCATTTCTTCTTCCAGGGGATTGTCCTGACACAAGGATCAAAACTGTGTCTCCTGTAACTCCTGCATTGGCAGGCAAATTCTTTACCTATTGAGCCACCTAGGAATGGTGATCTTCAAGATCCAACTCCGCAGAACCTTCCTTCTGATCTCTTCTAGATAGTCATTCCCTCCCCTGCCAGGACATGAGATCCATGACTGGTAATAATCTGTGTGGTTGCCTTTCTGTCCCTCTTGAGTGAAGGGGAAGGGAGGGAAGGACATGATGCCTTATCTGGTTCTGCACGTGTGGCTCTCATCACCATGCCAGGCAGGTAATGGATGTAACACATGGCTGTCAAACATCATGGGCTACTTTGGCTTATGCTTTTTTTAAAATTGAAGTATAGTTGATTTACAGATTCAACTCTACTTGGCAGAAGCAGGGCTCTTGTGGAGGAGAGAAGAGGCCAGCTCTGCTCCCCTCTGCTCACCAGGGAGGCGCTTGCTATAGATGCTACTTAGGCTGCCAAGCCAGCCTGGGTTGTCCTCCAGCCACTCAATCATGCAGATACTATTATAAGGCCCATAGAGCAGCTTGAAAGGAAAATAATTGCTGTTATTATTTATTAATAACCACTGTTCCTGTCTTCAGCACTTCCTTGAATCAAGCCATTCAGTTCTGTAAACATTTAAGCTGAGATTTCAAGTCAAACAGCTCTGACATTCTAAGGTTCCAGAAGCAAGGGGAACTTCTGGCCCAGGAGCATGTTCATGACCTGAGGAGGAGGAGGAGGGTGCTTTCTGCCTGCCTCAGGGTCTGGCTCTTCAGCTCACAAGCACAATCATTCATTCACTGACTCATTCATCCATGCTTTCCAAGTCTGCAGAACTCCTCCAGGTATGAGGAAGAACCCCGAGTTGCTTGTGTTCCCCTAGGCTGGCAGGGGAAGTCAGTCACAAAGAACAATCACATGGAGATGAAAGAACCACGGGCCATGTGAACAGGCACAGGCTGCAGACACTTAAATGAAGGGGCACCTTTCTGCTGTAGACGTCAGCAGAGCTGCCTGGAGAAGGAGCACCTGGGCTAAGCCTTGAAGGATGAGCAGTATTTGGACCCACCTCAGAAGAAGGGGGCTCCGATTTGGAAGGAACAGGTGTGGCATTTGATACCTCTTGGCTCAGATCAGCATTAGGGCTGGGCTGACACTGTCACCTATTCTCACTGACAAGCATCTCTTGATGCTTGTCACTGTTCCAGTCTCTCCTTCTTTACCCCTCAGTCCCTGCCAACCCTCTGCATTTGGAGATTCTGTCCTCTCCTGAAACTGCTCTGATCAAATCCAACAGTCTGGTTCTGATTCTCAGCCTCCAAGATCCTTTGGTGCTCAGTTACCACTGATCACCCTCTTCCTGAAGTTCTTCCTCTTGCTCTGCAGAGCCAAACTGCCTGGTACACACGTGTCTCTTACTACCTGCCCAACGTGTTCTGACTTCAGCTCCTTCTGTTCTCCCTGAAAGTCCTGCTACTGCCCAGGGTTGCCCCAGATGCCCTCCATTGTGTCATGAGACCAGGTCTTTATTTCTGCCTGGGTCCTTCTCTGGGATTCCAGGATCACCTGTTAAACCATCTGAGGTACATCTCACAGGGATGGTTCATGATCGCCTGTGCAGTCCGTCCAGCCATGCACCTGCTGCCCAGCTCTGCACCTGCTGTCCCTGGTCCTGCAGGGCTTCCTCTCAGCCCCTTTGTTCTTCACTCAAATGCCAGTTTCTCAATGAGGACTTCCTGGCCACTCTTAAGATGTATCCCCAACCCTTCTATCTCCCCTTTCCTGCTTTAATATTTACTTAAATTCTCATATAGCAGTAGAAGAGGGCAAATCACAGAACAATACACAAAGTATAAAACTATGTAAAAATGGAAGAAAAACACAACCCTTTAAACAAAAGACATCACAACATATATTCAGTGGGTACATGCATTTATATAGAAGGAACATGTCACACCTGTAACAGTGACTATGGTCATGGAGGAGAGGATGGGACTGTAGTATTGTAGTTTTATACAGGAAAGAATGTGTGCATTGCTTACATGAATTAAAATAAAAACTTTAAAAGACAGAGCTCTTTTGAGAGGGAGCTGAATCCCCTCAGGAGATCTAAGATAGCAATTAAAATGTCATGAGTTGGATGAACGTTTATGCATATTTATCTGCAAAAAGCACCTCACTAAGCTGTGGACCACAACACAAACAGATGCCTAGGCTCCGCCTACTCAGAATTTCCAGGCTGAACAGATGATTCTTCGTGGAAGCGCTTCTGGATCATCTGCAGACCTTCCATGGGATCAGGTCAGAGGGATCATATCCTTCCATGGGATCAGGTCAGAGGGACCCTCTGTAGGTGAGCCCCTCCAGTGGGCCTGCTACTCCAGCCTTTGTGCTCCATCCCATTTCACATAAGAGAGAGGCTCAGAGAGTGTGTGAGTCACTCACTACCCCAGTGTTGCCACAGGAGTACCTGGCAATTGCTGCATCTTGGAAATGGCTGGGAACACACGCAAGATACCTGACACAGTGGATCATGTCAGAGCTCTGCTCAAATTCCCTTGATTCCTTGTCCCTGTTTTTATGCCCCCTTGTTTCCAACAGCTTTCCCTGGGTGATTTTTCAGGGCTGCTGGCCTGCTTTAGAGACTTTTCTTGGGTTATTGGGGCCATTCTGAGCAGGCACTGAGAGAACCAGAAGTGCCCAGGAATTTACATCCCTCCCTCACTCCCCAGCCCTTAGCCAAAGACTCCTGGGTATGGGAGCTTGAAAGCCCCTGCAGTCTTATTTCTAGTTTGAAACTTCTAGGAGGCATAAGAGGCACAATTCACATTCGAAGCTCCCCAGGGGCTCAGGCTGATACCCCCCTTAACTGGGCTTTGCAGCCCAATTTGGACCTCCGCTTCCTGGTCCTGCTCCCCCATCCCCTCACTGCTGTCCCTTGGGAACACCTGTTCAAGAAATTACTGCAGACAATCCGCAGCTCAGGGCCTCTTTATGAGATCCACACCAGGCACACCTTTTTGTTTTCAGGGCCTTCTGACTAGGCTGTGGCAGCACCGGCCTCCGCAGCTGCCAGGGCATTAGCGCCGGCCCGAGAGCATGGAGGCGTGGCTGCACTTGAACTAAAACACAATTGATTTATAAAAGTCAATGGGATTTTAAAGCTGGGCTGTGGAAACAGCAAGACAGCTCTCAGAGCTGAATTGATTTAAAGGGTAAGTATCGAGGCCGAAAGATTGATGGAGAAGAGAGAGGTGAGGTAATGGAAGGGGCGCTCTGGAGCGGGGCAGACGAGACAGTTTCATAAAGTTAATGCAATTTGCCACCAAGGGCAAGGGGGCCTCGTGAGGTTCCCAGCTGTCCTGAGAGCCTCAGATGATTTATTACAGGATGGTTCCTGAGTGCTCTCTACCTTAATTTTTTTTTAAAACCTGTTACTTAGCTTCTTTCTGGGCTCTACTTGGTCATCTGTTCACTGCTAAGCTCCCCACCTGAGGGGTCTAGAGAACCAGCAAGGCTCCCTTAACGGGTCTCACTTAGGGGCCTGGAAGGTGAAGAACAAGGAGGAAAACTAGCCCCCCAAAGTAAGAAGTGTTAATTCTAATATAACTGTGAGGAGGTTCTAGCAAGTTTGGATTATTTTCCCCATAATGATGATTTTAATG